TATATATACAGCATATACGTATACTATATATATTGCAGTCATACCATCTGTTTTATTCATGGGATAAAAACAAAAGTGCAAAAGGAGGGAGAACCTTGAAAAAGTACGCAAACATGCATGACACAATGGTTTTAAAGAAGGTAAATAAATTTTAAAAACTGATATTTGCAGGTAAATCATCAAAACGCATTAATCAAGTCAAGCATGTATGTGATGATTGAACTTTTATGTAAAATTTTCTCCCGTATGTAAATAGTATTAYATTATGCAATGCAACAAAATCCCATTTTAGACATTTAGAATAATCTTCATTTACAGTGTGGTKGGTGGCACWGTGACTCAGTTGGTAGAGCTGTTGCCTCCCAGTAGGAAGGTTGCTGGATAGAATCCCAGCCAGGGACTTTTCTGGGTAGAGTTTGCATGTTCTCTCCCTGCTTATGTGAGTCCTCTGGTTTTAGACCACAGACCAAAARCATGACTGGTATCTCTAAATTGYACCTARGAGAGAGTGAATGTTTGTTTGTCTCGCTGACAGACCTGCCAGTCTTAGGGTGTACCCACCCCTCAACAGTGGGCAACTGTGACACTGTGAAGTGGGTATGGATATTGGATAAATGTCATGTGATATTTAACTTTTTATTGATTTTTTGTGGATTTATGATAGGATCTGACCAGAAATCAGAAGTTTAACAGTTGCACAATATACTCATATGCTTTTGTTCAGATAAAATACTGCTTCAGAAAGAAATATAAATACACCAAACTGTGGACCAGACTGAAAAGTTTAAAATATTAAAGCTTTTCAGGGTTTAAAGTATTCATGTTCAACTCAGAGCTCTTTTATAAAAAAAAAAAGAAAAATAGAGAAAAAGAAAAACATAACTGTGCTGACTTATAATGGAAATTAACTGAAGGAGTTTTCAGACACTTGACAAAAAGACAAACATTGGCTGTTGAAATATTTGTGAAGCTGTGTGAGTTCAGCCTGGAGCACAAGTTAACCTGCAGAGTTTTCACAGCAGAAAACGAAAAAGAAAACATTTTCATGTACCGTATAAGATGTGCACAGATTGCACTGCCTTTGTGGATTAGCTAAACGTTTGACCGCTTTCACTTGTACAGAATATGCTTTTATGTTTTTTTTATTAACACAATCTCTTGTCTTTTTACTCCTGGTATACCCTCCAGCCTTCCTGTAACACTAATTAGGACAACGATGTATCATACCTGGGGATAATTTGTCCAAAAGTTAGAATTAATAAAGAGGAAAATGTTTCAAAAGCCGAAGTTTTAGCTGTGATGTTTTGAGTGGTTTTTATAGACTGGTTAACCAAAAGGTAGCTGATCTGATTGCACTTAGGGGCTGTGGGGGGTTTCTCCTGGAAGAATAATCTGCTGCTGCCTCCTCTCCAGCATGACTGATGATGGGCAGCAGCTTCAGGCTTGCAGGCATGAGGGAGGAGGGGACGGCGGGGATGCAGTGGCACAGAGAGTACTGGACATGTCAGTAGTGATTACATTCAGCTACAGAAAAGGTCTGGGGTCAGACGGAGTGTGAGCAGACTGTCTCTTGCACCAAACTGACTGTATTCCCAAAGCTGTATCGTCTGCGCTATCTCCTCATGATGTCCCCCGGTGAGCTCTGTAGCCTTCTTTATACACTGTGGCTTTTTCCTCAACATCTGAAACTCCAATTCAGCTCAAATATTTACTGTACACAACAATTACTGATGTTTTTTTCCCGTGAGATCACAACTGCAAAGTCAGTTTTTAGAGAAGTATGTCAGACTTTGGCATAACTCATATGTAATACAACATTTCAATGAAAAATGTGCAGCAGTTACAGTAGCTGATGGTGAGGGTGGATTTGCTGATTAAACATTACGAAAAGCAGTGTTTTTTATGGCTTGTACTTGTATGTGTGGAAGAAAAAAATGCTTCACTTTTTATGGCCAGAAAATTACAAATCAAAGTAAAAATAATGTTTTTCATTTAATATTGAAAAAGTAAGCATCTTTTAGTATACCTTGTTCTGACAACAGAAACAAAACTGTCATTATAGAACTATTTTTAATTTCCCACATTTTCATTTTCTATGAAGCTGTCTAAGCTAAATCAATAGGACTGCCTAAGTTTGTCATAGTCTGTATTCATTTACCTTGGTTTAGTGTTTTCTATGTTTCCCTGTGTCTCTGCTCACCTGCCCCACATTACCTTGATGATCACCCTCGTGTTTCTCTCCAGGTGTTTTCTGTTCATTCTTTAGTTGTCAGTGTATTTAAGCCCTGTCCTGTCTCAGTCTTGTGTCGGATCATTGTTGTGTTTTGTTCCTGAGTTTTGGCTCCCTCGTGCCTGCGTTTTTGAGAATGTGTAAGTGATTTTTGAGCTGCCTCTACAGCATTTTCTGTTATTTAATAAATCTTTTTGTTCCTTTTTTGAACCTGCTTGCGCCCTGGGTCTGTTCCTCCACCGTTCCTCACATAATGATCCGACCACGCACCCAGCCTGCAGGCAAGGGTTTTTATGGTCTGCCCCTCCACAAGGCAGATATTTTTTTTCTCACCAACGCCTGAACCACACATGACTGGTTTGGCTTCACCTGCCTGTGAAGAACTGGTTCTGTCTCTGCCGCCGTGGGAGGATGAGGTAACAAGCCCTCAGATCACTGGATCACTCATGATCCTCCGGTGGTCCTCCACCTATGCGGCAAAACGACTCCTCTGCCAGCAGATCGAGGATGTCTTGCTGAGGCGTCCCGATCTGCTGCTCCTGCCTGGCCACCGGAGGGTCTGTGAGTACACTCGGCGTCTTCTGGCCGAGCATTTGAACGCCCACCCTCCCACCCCTTCTGTGTTTCCTGGGCCGGCTGCTGCGCTGTCTGGGACTTTGCTGCCCGAACCGACTGTTTGGGTCACCGATTCTCCTGAGTTTGCTGGGTCATCTGAATACGTTCCTGAGTCTCCTGAGTTGGCGGTCCCAGTCTGCTCACGTCTCCTCCTGTGGCCTTGTGTCTGCTACGCTTCCTGCTGGGTCTCGTGCGGTGGCGGGGGCACTCCCTGGACAGTTTTCTGGACGTCCCCCTGGACTTCTGTGTTTTTTGTCCCGAGTTCCCCTGTCTYGTGTTTGTGTTCCTCATGTCCTGTGCCTCTCCCTTTTCGACGTCGGGAGCCGTCGTTAAGAGGGGTTACTGTCATAGTCTGTATTCATTTTCCTTGGTTTTCTATGTTCCCCTGTGTCTCTGCTCACCTGCCCCACATTACCTTGATGATCACCCTTGTGCTTCTCTCCAGGTGTTTTCTGTTCATTCATTAGTTTTCAGTGTATTTAAGCCCTGTCCTGTCTCAGTCTTGTGTCGGATCATTGTTGTGTTTTGTTCCTGAGCTTTGTATCCCTCGTGCCTGCGTTTTTGAGAACCTGTAAGTGATTTTTGAGCTGCCTCTACCGCATTTTCTGTTATTTAACAAATATTTTTGTTCCTTTTTTGAACCTGTCTGGGTCTGTTCCTCACAAAGTTGAAGATAGCTCCCTGTTTTTTTATTAATTTGTCTGTATAAGCTCCATGTAGCTTTATTTAATATAATGATAACATTCATATAACATCAGTTCCTGCCAAAATAATCTGTTTGCATTGCAGCATTTAAATTTAAATGACAGTTTTAAAACACTTGTTTACAACAATTGGTGTGATATCCATTTAAAATTAAAGACGCTTGTGCACATGTTTAAAGAGACTTACCATCCTCTCTAGACTTTTGAATAAATGCGTCAACGCCACTCTCTCCATAGTTTCCCTCTGAAGCTACCGTTGAGACGTAATTCCAGCGCATAGCTTTGACGATGTCTACCATAGCCTGTGCCTGGTAGGTATCTGGAGGAACTACACGGGAGAAGAAGTCGTAGCGGGTGTTATCACTCAGTTCCGGGGCTGTGGAAGCGTAACTCACTTGAGGGATCTAGAAAACAGAGACAGTGGGAGATACACATGGTGAAGTATGGAAATATTGTGTGCAAAATCATTTAAAATGCAGCCAGAAAGTTTTGCTCTTTGGTTACAAAAAACATAATGACACCCAGCATTTGCTGATCTTTCTCACCCTCTACACTTGGCCCRCTGTTGCTTTAAATAGTCCTGATGATCACAGGCATTGCTGTGATTCCTCTGAACTGTATTTTTATTTTTTACACAGTCAACTAACGCTAATCTGTTCATTCTTGTACTGAGCATAATGTGAAAATGATATAGTTTTGATCCTATTATTGTCAAAATCCTCAAATATGCTAAGATAACTTAAAACCTAACAAACTAAAACCAATTATATTATAACTAATAGATTAAAAAACAAATTGAAGACAAAAACTATTAAACTAATAGGAAACCTGTGGGGACTGAGGAAAGTGGCAATTTGTCCTACAAAACATTTTTTTGGATGTAGCTTCTGTTCACATCTGACAGTTCAGAAATATTTACCTCATTTGTCCTCAGTCTCACTGCAGATGTTTTTCTGCCACCTCTAGGAGAAAACTAGTCTAAACTTGCTTGCTAATATTGTTTCGGATTTATGGTCATCTCGGCTTCTGTGACGTTTCAATTGTTTTCAGATTCAGTGTTGACCACATTTTCTGACATTCACAGTCCCTATGCTGATGGTTTTGTGTATGCATCATAAGAAAGAGACAGAAGGTGCAAGAGATCTATTAAAGGCTCCAGTATTGGGATCTCTGTGGATCAGAGTGTTTTCCTTCAGGGGTCAGAATTATTCCTTTGTATGCAGCAGTTGTTTTGTTGACACAAAAAGACAACCATCCTTCTGTCAAAAAGTGGTTTGTGATTGGGTTTGTCATTAGACTACATTCATAGATGATCACCCATGAAATACAAAAAAATAAAAAAAATAAAAATCTGCCAGATAGTGTATATTCTTCGCAAGGCGTTTGAACTTTAGATGTGAATCAAGAAAGCAGCGGGCTACCCATGATGCTCAATGGAGTGATCCTAGGAGAAATGTAATTGCACGGATTACAGTATATCATCACTACCATCATGCTTTSTTTCGTTTGGTTGTTGTCAATACATAAAACAAATCTGGCCACCTGGCTAGGCTACACCCATGATTGTGACATGGTCATAGAGACAACCTCACATGGTAAATGGTATGTATGGCGCTTTACCAAGCCCCATTGGGTCCCTAAGCGTTTTACACTTCATACAACTGTATTGGAACTAATACTTTTATGTTTAAGCAAGTAATTTGTGACATCCTTTAATGACCTAGGTTTTCATGACATGCTGTTCATCTGCAGATAGAATGATTAAAGTCAGAACAAGATTTGCTAACAACAGTCATTCTTAGATATCACTTGTGTTTATCTTTGTGTTTTCCATTGACCTTGTATCAAATCTTGCTAAGATGACATAATGGTGTTTGTTAATATATATATGAGGCCTCTCGAGAAACAGTGGAGAGACCGTGACAGAGAGAAGCAGAGGCACAGAGACAGGCCAGGTTGTTCTCTGTGTTTCCTGTTGTTGCAATAAAACTCAGCTGATCATCTCACGGAGTACCTTCATTCTTGGACCACRTATTTCTGTCCTTGTTAAACAAATATTGCCATAACACACCCATTCACACACTGATGATACATTGTARCCACAGCTGCCCTGGACTGACAGAGGCACCTGCACCACCAGACCCTATAACCACCATCAGTAGGTAAAGTGGGTGAAGTGTCATGAAGTATCAAGACGGCTGGAGTGGGGTATCAAACTGGCAACCTACTTGTTCCAGGATGACTCCCATAACCACTCCCCCACAGCCATCCACAACATAGACATGATACCCATGAATGTACTATTGCTCTAGTGCAGCCAGATCTTCTAGAATGTATTTACAATCTGATGAGGTTCAAGAGTCATTCCAGAGCTGGTAATTATGTGAGGGCACATGCTTGGAAAGAAATAAGGGCATAAAAACATTGTGATTGCTTATGAGCTGTGTTTTCCTAACTGAATAGATATTCTATGGTTGTGACTCCAGAGAGGGGTAACAGCCCATGAAGGTCACACCTTTTGCAGTCCAGTTAGGCTGCATGAAACAGCTGTTAAATGAGTCTAGTCCTTGRATATGCGTTTGTGTGCACATGAACTACCCAATTACCATGGTGTTACATTTTATATCATGTTCCTTCAGCCTAAAATGTTTAGAACGTGAAGTCAAACGTCTTTACAGAGCCCGCGAGGGGACATGGGGGGATTTTTTTTCTTTTGCATTCCAASGCAATGCTATTGCGTTACCTTGCAATATCTTTGTGTTACCTCACAATATCTTTTTACGTTATCTCACAAATGTTTRCATTCCCTCGCAAAATTATTTTGCGTTCCCATGCAAAAGTTTGTTTCGTACATGAACTGAATTAAATCAGACTTTTATTTTGAAATATCCAGTTACCAAAACAGGATGTGTTGCCACGAGTTCATGAATTGACGTTGATGTTGCATGGCTGCACTGTTAAAATATTAACATATGACATACTTCCATGCGTGGCTGTGTGATATATTCATTCTGAAGATGAATTAAAAGAGTAGGCTAACTTACAAATGGTGAACATGTGAATTTGTTAGTAAACCAGCTGGCACAACAGTRATAAACGACTTTTGTGAGGGAAGACAAAAGGTATTGCGAGGTAACGCAATACTATTGTGTGGGAACTCAAAAGAAAAAAAAATCTGCCATGTCACCTCGCAGGCTCCGTACATCTTTTCACAGGAGGTACAACTTTTAAAAAGACCATAACTTATAAAATTCAACGTAGTTTTTAAAATGTTACAAGTAAATAAAGAAAAAACTTTAACAAATTTGTTTTAGCTCTACTATCAGTGCTTGTAATTGCATTTTACTGAACATCTCATTGCAGCATAAATTTTATCAGTTAAGTTGCTAATCAAACATTTAAAAAGCAATTCTTTGGCCCGTGATACACTTCCAAACTCCACCATCTTCGTTTTCCAGTTTAGTCTGCTAATGGCACAATGAATCCTGGGATTTTATTGGCCGCGTAGGATACTCAGATGCAGCTTACATTTTCAGGGTTTTGTATGCCACATTTGTARGCCACACGGGGAGGCTTTTTTACAAAACAGCTTACTGTGTGGTGCAGTGATGTAATCAGCCTACAAATGTGCTCCATGTGGGCTGCACCTCCTGATTTGAGACACACTTTACATTTCTTTATGAGAAATGTAAACTCAAAAATGTGTTAATCTTTTTAAAGTAAACCTAAAGAAATGCATAGAACATTAGAACACATAGGTTGAGTTTTTAATTCTAGCCTCTAATAACAAAATTTCTGYCAAAAAATGCCTGCTTTCTTACTTAAACTCTTTTTATCAACATACCTGTTTATAGTTTGGACACCCAGCTGTGCCACATCTAAGTCAGCCTACGTCCTGCTTTACCAGTATTTTCTCTGCACACAGCAGACTGACTGCTGTGAGAGTAAAACCATCCTTTYCTCTCTCTCCCTCTCTCTGCACAGCGGAGGTCTTTGATTTGGTCAGCTGTTGCTCTGCACTGATCCAGCTAGCTCTGCTACAGCCTGTGTTTGGACCACAGCTGTTCGATGCATGCCCGTGACCTACAGCTCTAAACAACTCCTGTTACCCAACACTGATGGTTTTTTTTTATTTCTACTGCACAGATCCTCTGGGTAAAAATCCTTTTGTGGCAGTGAGTTAATAAATGTTTTATATTTCTTTGTTTAGTAAAATACGATGACATCATGAAGGCTTAGGACAGGTTGTCTTACTGTCTTTTCCTGGGTGGTTAGGTAATGACTTGTGATGCAAGCCAAAAACAACCTTATTAACTCATTTTTTCCTCAAAGAAGGGAAGAGCCAGATACACTGAGTGCATGGTAATGGACTGGGGGCATGCTGCACATCGGCCTCCTGAATACATTTGTCTCAGGACATCACACTGTTCCTCGTCCAAGCAGCATTTATGCCCCAGTTGTCCTGTGTTGATCTGGCTCTGCTTGTTTAATCTGTTCATGTACTGAGAACACTAAATTACACACATTAGAGAAACTCCTTGGTGCATTTGTCCCCATGGAATGCTTTACAGGGTCTGTAGCGTGTCGTTGAGTCAGAACCCTGGAGACCAGCAGTTCTAAGCTGACTTTGTTGGTATAATACCTTCAAACACCCAATTTTGTTCAKTTTAAATCTGCTTTGATTGTAGGCAGATTTTCTTTTTTAACATCTGTGTTTCACTCCCTGCTGGAAGTGATACAAGTGGAAACTTTCCTCGCACTCTTTGACGTCATAAAGCTAAAYCCAGCAGGATGTCTGTGAAGTGTTGTGCAAAGGTGTTTGGAAGGTGTTAATGATGTGTCAATTTAGAATATTTTCGGGCTCTAGCACACAGTGAAAATGAGCCTTTCAGCCGTTTGCACCCACATTTCACTTTTTGAGTTTTTTGTCAGAGTGGAAAAGGTTGTTATATTTATTTGTTTGCAAGATATAGAACACTGTTTTAGAATAAATTATGAGACAATGTCGTGTATAAAACTTACAGCAGTCTTTTCCCCTCAACGCTCTCTTCTCAATCTTGTATTTTAAAATGCCCACAGCRTACAGAGTTTCTGCTGTCAAGTCGTGACTGAAAGTCCCCCAGTTCCTTCTGGTGAATACTAAGCTTCTCCCAGGCCAGCTGGGAACGTACTCTCATCAGTGTATCATAGGCCCACTTTGGGTTTGCTTTATTCAAATGGGACACRCTTTAGAGGCCTTCATGAGGTAACCTAAAGGTATTACGCCACATTAACTTTMTTCTTTCATGTGACTGAATGAAGGCTCTAGCCTCAGCCATTCCAAATAATAAAGWCTTTCTGTTTACCTCAGGGGTTATCCCAGGCAGCAGCTGCAAACAGATTTTGTTGACTGCTTATACCTGTG